ACCACCTTTGAGAAAACGTTATTTGATGTGTACGTCCCATCTGCTAACATGGAGCAGGCAGGGTTTGTGACCTATACTTCAGCCAGCCACCAGGGTGGCAATGAAGATGATTTGGCTTCACGTCTGGGGAGCTGTCACGTCATCCATCTTTAAAGATTGTTCGGTCTGCATGCATGTTCAGGTGCACTGGTGGGATGTGATTTATTTATTTTTGTCATCCCTGTTTGTGTGGGCGTAGGTGTCCTCATTAGTAAAGTACATCTCCCCAACCTTACCACCCCCGGCCCACCCCCTCAGATACCCTTGAGGAGATGAGGTGGTCAGTTTCCTGTTTCATTTGCCTCCAGTCATGCAAGGCTGCCTCGGTGTCTGCGGCCGTCTCCCTGCACTAAATCAAAGAGTGAGCCGAGCGCCGAGCCGTGGCGGTGACTCCTTTTATGATATTCTGTAGGATCCCGGTCATTGAGAGGAATGGAATGTATGGCCGCTACGACTTACAGATCCTCACAGGGGTCACAGGCGCTGGCTCGCCTTGTGAATCACATTCTCTGCTGCTACTCACTTATTTCCATTTCACTGAATTGTATCATTGAAAACCTCATTAAGCCGCAACACTAGAGAGCTTAGTGTTTGTTCTGCTCAACCTCCTCTAGGTTTGTTATCAAGCTGTGACAGTTTCCATTTGCAGGTGTTAGATACTGGTTCTGCTTCCCCTCTCCTCTGCCTGCCGACTCTCTGTCTCTCCTCCTCATTGCAAACATGACAGAGTGTGTCACCAGCCGCTGATTTGCAATTTCGTGCAACCCCGGCAAACGGCTGATGTTAAAAAGAGCAAGTTAGCCCGATGGATTGAACTGCAATGCAGCAAAAATCATTTTAAGAAATGCCCTAAACCACAAAACAGACAGTCATGTGGGTGAGTTTCAGCATTTGCATGAAAGCCATTACGGAGACTTGAAATGACATCAGAAAGACTTTAATGTAAATCTGTATGCACTGTCAGGTTGTTCTCTGGTCGCGTTGATCTCACTGGGCAGAGCGTGACACTAATGCTTTCCATGGGGGGGGGAACTAAATTCTGCGTGCAGCTCAGTAGGCAGCAGGAGATTGTTATAATTGCTGCGTTCACACTGCAACACACAACACAATCAACAAGTGGGAGAAAGACAATTAATTTATGTAGATGAACCAGCAAACTCTGAATAGATGCTCAACAAGCTTGATACCACAGACGACTCTGTTTCTCTGTCCATGCCGGTAAACAACAGTGGGTCCATCTGTCCGTGTTCAAAATATACGGTTCATGCTTCAAAACTCTCTAACTATCCCGGTTATTATTGGGTTTTTGAAGTATCCCGTCTCAAAGCATGTAAACATTCCAGTAAGGCCTTATCCCGGTTACCGACAATTCCGACTACCTGATGTCCTGCACATGCTAAACTTTTCTCTCCATTTGGTGTCACTGAACTGAATCATGGCGTCCCGATCCCACCAGTCACGGCTGCTCATCCTCTTCCACAGCGCACTGGTTGTGTGGAGGACATGTTTAAAATTTGCCGTCGCTCTCGTCTCCCACTGATGGCAATAAGGTGGATAAGCCAAATCCGCAATGCCATGTTGGTATTTAACTGAGCTGAGCCCGCTGTAGGGTACAGCTGCCTCCTTTTCGGCGATACAGGAATCAAAATTGCAGATGGGCCGTGTTGTTGTAACCATGGGAATGTTTCTTATTTCCAAAAGGTACAGATCTTCTCCCTTCTTTGCTGTGCTGGTCAGTCTCCATACTGAATCCTTTGTCTGTGGTTGCATAAGGAAATTGTGTAGGTGTGAACCTGTGTTGTGCTGCATTCAGACGGTCTTTAAAATAAACGTCCAGGGACGCGCTAGCAGTCGCTTGAGGCTGGAGTGTTTATTAGGCCTGATACTAAAAGACGTGCTGGGAAGAGCAAAGATTGTGCTGATGAATATGAAGTGAATACAACCTCAAACGTCCAGATGGAGGCCCTGAAGGGAGGAGTACAAATGTATTCAGAAAATGTTTGCTCAGACACGTCTGGTACATATCTCGTAGGCATTTAAAAGTGTCATTTTAACCTGTGAAGGCGACTTTGACTTCTACTTCTTCAGTTACAATATGTTCGATTGAGCCGATTCTTTTAGGGTCAAGGATATGAACTAAATGAATTCAGTGTCATAGACTTTTAATTTAGTAAAGTTAAAGTGCAAACCGTATTGGGGGTTTCTAACCACGGTGTCTTTGCAGTCACCTGTGAACTCCCAGAGTTTAGCCAGAGTCAACTTCATTGTCAATTCTGTCACATGTACAGGACGCAGACCGGACGGAAATGCTGTATGCTGCATATAAGTACACAGAACATATAAGTACACCGAACATAGTAGGATAGTATGACATAGTATGTATTTTGCATTGAAAACATTCAGTAACTTGTTCTTGTTGATAGAGGTGGGGGGTGTGTTGGCTGGTGATGTAGGAAGGTGGGTGGGGGTGGTGGTACCAGAATGGTCCTGGTTGGGGAAAGGGGGGGTGATGGCGTCATCCATGTTGTCTGTTGTCTTTGTGTGTGTGGACTTATCATTCTCGGGGGTCCAGGAAACAACCCGCTTGTCCTAATCCCTGTTGCAACGCCCCTGTTTGAGGCGTATCCCTGAGTCGGATTCGTCTCACGTCTGTATTTATTTTTTAAATACAATCCGCCTATTTAATAGTTGCTAGCTAGGTGCTGTTTGGATGCTAATAGCATAGCAGTGGAACATTTGTGCAGAGGCCGACTGAAGGAAGCTGCTCTCAGCATGGAGGAGGAGTCACACTGCGAAAGGCAGAGGCTGTTTTAGCCCCGAAAAACTAAATCTATAAACTCATGTTTCAGTAAAGTGCTTCTGTTAAAAGAACGTATAAGGATTTTATGATGTCGCACAAATAGTGAAGACACACAACCACTCACTCTCTCTCACACACACAAACACACCAGTGATGAAATGGAAGGTGTGTGTGTGTGTGTGTGTCTACAGGACTCACCCTCGCTGTTTGGGGTCATAAATATTCATTTAGCATCCATCAGCCTTTAGGGATTAATCCCAGTACGATGGTTAAAATACAGAACACAAAGCAACACCACCGGCATGTTAAGTCCATTATATACTGTAAAGTACCAGGCACTGCCCACAGGAGACTAATGGCTTTTTATCAAGGATCCCTGGAGGGCTGCAGCCTTCCACCTCCAACAGCACGGCTTCCATTAACGCAAGGCAGGTGCAGTTCAAGTGCACAGTTTTTTTTCCCAAAATGCACCTGCTTTAAAAGTAAAATGAGTGACATTATGAGACAAACAACCCACGCGTTTGCTCTTTTTATTTTCACAGAACGCCGCCTTCAAGACTGCAGGTCTGCTCGTAATAAGGGGCTTCTCTCTCTCGTGGCTCTAATTGATGCGGTTAATGTGGTCGCCTTTTTCTAAATGCGAGTGAATTTTCTTAAAAGCATCTGAAATAAAAGATGTGTAGAAATTGTCAAATAGAAAATTGGCAGCGTGGAGGAGGGAGACGTCCAACAGCATCTGGGCTCCGGTTTCCAACGTGCTGCTGGGATATAAGGTCGTTTAATTCAATGTCCTTGTTAAATCAGAAGTACAAACAGACTCATCATTGAACAGCTGCTTTCAAGTGAGTCACATTTACATTTCAATCTAGTTCATTAAGCGCACGCACCGTAATCCACATCGTGATTTAACTGAAACAGATTGACATCCGCTGTACCACACACACACACACACACACACGCACACACACACGCACACGTCAGGTTCATTACAATCTGCTGTCAAACATAAGTCACAACACAACTCTGCTGCGGTCCAGCACAAATAATCTTACTGGATAAAAATCATAAAGTTTTGAGATCTTGAATCCAAAAGGCTAAAGCTCAACTTCAAAGTGACATCACAGTGTTCTGCAAAAACACTTTTCTTATTAACTCCATAACTCAGACAGGGAGATTCTGACCATATTTCCCTTTTGGCCCCGATACTTAATTGGCGACACTAATCTTGCAGATCCGCCAACTTTGAAGAGAACCTCCAGGTGCCATCCTGTACTCAAAGGTTTTCATTCCATTGTTATTATCACCGTCACGTTTCTAAATTTAACTTAACTCCTCCCTCCCTCTGAACATCTTAAGACAACTTGAGCACTTCTTTTATTTTCATTCCATATAGATACACCTGCATTTCTAGTATTGACATTTTATCACCTTTAAATCACAGTTTTGCCATCACGGAAACATTCCTCTGAGAAATACACATTTAAAGTACAGTTACTCTCCTGGTAACTTTATTGTGAGCATGTTATTAACACCATCTGTCATCAATAGATTACACCAGAGGCCACACCTCTCCACCCAACAGCCCCCTTCTGGAACCACCTTTGAATCTTGATGATCGTCTATTTCATTCTTGTTTTTTTGTGTTAATATTTGTGTTTGTGTGTTAATATTGTTCTGCCCGTTGAATTTGCCTTGGTGTCATTTGGTCTCCAACTTTAATGGGATTCACCTTTTAAATAAGGATTAAATAAATTGAAGATAAAAAGAAATGAGTCATGCTGTGATTCGGACAATGTGCAATGGCTCGATTTTATAATCAGCGTTAGAACAGCAGTGGCAGAAGTCGTCAGAGGACGCTAACATTGCACAGGTTCTTCTTTTCCCCGGCCACTATTACTGAGAGAGACCTCTATTTGGTTCTCAGCGGTGGGAGCCTGGACCCAGCAGCGTCCAATCTGTCCTTCACTTTACCTCCTGCCTCTGTCTGCAGCTCTCGGCCTTTAACGGCCGTGGTCTCGCAATTAAGTGTGTTGAGAAATAAAGCAAAGGGACTGACTCTTCCTGTGGGACTGACTTTGAGTCATGAGAGATCACTGTTACCATGGACATGCATAGTACACATGTCCTGCATGTGCCCTAGATCCATGTGTCTAAATCATATTTGTTATTTTGACCTGTTGAATTTCTGTCACTTCATGTCTCTCATACATGTCTACGTGTACTGCAGAGTTTGTGAATCTTCCACGGTTTACATAGGGGAACATGAAACGTTCTGTAGTGCAGACCCACGAGCACACGAACCTGCAGTGAAAACATCTAAAGCACAGACTTTCTTCTGGTCGTCTTTGAAGAACAGTCATTGATCGAGTCATCATAGAGTTAATTTCCACGAGCGACAGCATTAGTTCATGTTTAATCCTGGACTCGTGCACTTCTCTTTTCCTCCCCTTATGGCTCCGGGGCTCGATGCACCTTCTCATGTTGCTCGTGTTACACTTAAATCTTCCACATTTAGATTGCTGCAGATACAAAGTGAATAACTTCAGCAACATCGCAAAAAAAAATGTTTAAAATATGTTTGAGCTGCTTTCAGACTTCCACTTAAGTGCAGACACTTTTCTTGCCAGCCTCTTGGGAAGCTGTGAGTGAGCCCGTGTGAGAATTCAGCAGGAACATTCTGGCTGATTCACAGCGAGCGTATATGGGCGTGTTGATGATGTTTGTAACATGCGATGGCATGATCGCAGGATGAAAGAGAGGAGCTATACACACAGAAGACACACAAGGTCTTAACTTGATGTGATACAGCTTTAGATATACACCACCAGCCAGAATCCTGCTCCGTCGACGATATATATTTCAGTATTTCTAAAGAAGTTCCATCTCTGAGTGCTGCCTCTCATTAAAGACGAAATGTAAAAACATCCATTATTCAAACACTTGAACAAAATCACACGTTACCTACTGTCTGGTAAAAACGTGATGTAATTCCTCCTCATTCCTACTGTCAGTCATTTTGAGAGAAGATATGATGTAATTTCCAAACAGTGGCTAATATCTCCACGAGGAAAGGACGCTCTTTAAATGCAAAGTAGCTGCGGGTGAGTGAGACATCACAGGTTCTTACTCTTCACAGTCATGATATCATTGTCTTGTGTCCAGCTGTTTCTCCCCACCGACTCACAGGGGACGAGAGAGGTTGGTTTTTTTAAATCGTTTTTTAATTTGCAGATCCGCGTGGACAGGTGTCCCTGAGATCTGAGATTTTAATTATTTTTTCACTAATTAGCAAAGCATCAGAATTGCAGCTAGTTGAATAAACCTCTGAACCACCTGAGGGTCGGCAACTGCTTTAGAACTTATTACAGATGTGTGTCACAGCTGCTTCCCAGACTGTCACGGACAAGAAACACACAAAGTCTAGTTTTGTATCACAGAAATGTCTGTACTTATAATCTTGGTTTGTGTTCTGCTTTCTCTGAAAAAAAAAAAAAAGCACTTCAGATGACTCTTAACATTCAGAAACCTCACATGTTCTGAAAACTACTGTGGAAATGGTTTTCATCTAAAACGTCTCTTTAAGACCGGCCAGGGAATGAATCTCTGACAGAGGGAGCCTTCGTAAAGAGAAAACAACCTTTGCTGTGAATATTAATTGCAGGATTAGAAGTTGAAAAGAAGTCTAGGTAATAACTGGATTCAGTGAAGAGTACAAGCTTTTTCTACTTGAAGGTTACATCACACAATTGTTCCAACAAAGCTCAGATGATTCGATTCCAACACGTAACCAGGACATGAAACTGTATCGGTGAGACGCAACATACACGTCCTGGAAGTGTCTTCATTTTAATTCAGATGACAAGATGTGTTTTCACCTGCAGATTCACTTTTGTTAAAAGCTAAAATAATTGAATGTCTCACATTAATATGTAAGTGAAGGTTAATCCACGCTGGTGGCTCGGTGAGACACAGAGGAGCAAAATATTACGTCTAATGTGCAGAACCCGAAAATGCTATCATGCTAGTAAGAGTTACCACATTCATCATCTTGTGTTAGCATCCTGACGTTTAACAATAAACATGAGCACAATGTAGAACTGTGACGGAGGGGGAAATGATTTGGTAAACATAAACACATGCACCATCAAGATATTCCAATAATAATAAAACGTTTAAACTTAATCGTGGCAATAGGAAATGTCCTGCAGGATTCAACTAGTCACAAACATGAACTTCTGCACAAATGTCATGGCAACACATCTCGTATTTGTCTCGAAATTTGATCTAAACCACAAATAAGTCGGTAGAATCCCACAGAAAGAATAAATATCTGATGCAAACTTAAGGACCACAGTAGCGGACCTGACAATTGACAGTAAAGCTGTGTTCAGCGTAACGATCGACCATTTTATCATATCTCAACGAACTTTAATAGCTATTGACAAAAACAGTGGTTAGCTCGATCTGTGCTCAGCCAACGATTACCCAACAAATTAGAGTCGGAGCAGCACAGAAGTTTGTTATCTGTTATTAGCACAGATGAATCTTATTGGGAAAATAAAAGGTTTTGAAGAAAAGACTCATTATCAGGTTGTTTTATGTTTTTTTTTTTTTTTTCAGCTTGCATTATGTGAAACAGTATTTTCAATGAGCCAAGGACTCTGCAGTTGGCGGAGCATTGTCCTTCGTATTGTCATGGGAAGGGATGTATTTGGCCTTCATGCTCCATATGGAAGTCCCTCCTCACCCCACCTGCCTGAAACGTACCTCTCTGAACTCACTAATGAGAAGAGGCAGGAGTCAATCAGCTGCTCGGTCTGAGGGGTGAACCTGTGCGGCCTGCTAATCCGACACGGTCACGTCTTTGTGCACCCATCAGCGTCTCTGTTCACTTCATTCAACCCCCGGGCAGCTGTAGGTGGCAGGTCTGTCCGTCCGCTTGTGGCTGCTACGACAGAAATGAGCTTTCACAGCGGGCGGCTCACGAGCCACAGAACAATTCTTAAAAATATTAAGAGGAAAAAAATTCCCCTCGCTTCTTTTTGAAAGTGAAAGGAATTAAACGACAATGTGTGACATTAACACAATGAGCTGCTGAAAACCTTTAATTTAAAGTCATTTCTCTGTGACCCCCTCATTTCACAGTGTTCTCCTTTATTATTCTTTTCCAGCATGTAACTAACTAAGCTTCCTGCCTGAATTTTTTCTGTGCTCTGAGGGGAGTTGAGCTCTTTATGGTGACTATATGTCGCTGACACTCTTTTTTTCAATGGTTCACCATTCTGTCTATAAACTCAGCTCCATTTAGTCCAATAAACCAAAACACTTTATGATCCATGCTCGCGCTCTTTCTATTTTTGGCCTCTGCAGCCAGACGTCTCGGACCATCGCTCCAGTAAACAAGTGCAAGAGAAGCAGCAACAGAGAACAAGTCGATTTTGCTCTTTTAATGTATAGAGGAGGTCGGCGAAGTCTCGGAAGTGTCAGAGTGCTGATGGTCGTGCGGAGAGGTGAGTAGCTCGAGCTTCACATCAGAGGAATAATTCATAAAGGAAATAACATTCTGTGACATCTGCCTGTGGCTCTGATTATTGTAGATATTTTCCCTGATGCCACTTCCACTGAGCAGAGTGGAGTCTCACTCAACACATTCAGACACATGAAAAACACTGATATTCTGGATGTGGCTTTGCTCACTGCCAAAAAAAACTACAAGTCTAAACAAAAATGTGGTTTATTTAAATTCTGGTTCAGGCTGGTTTTACCTCATATGCATTTATATTGTTCGGGGCGGGGCTTGGAAATTGGGACTTAGAAGATAAAGATATTATCTCATAAACAAGCGTGTGCAACGCAAGTACCTTTCTCTGTTCTTTGGTGCCATGATATCTTCGGGACGCTAAGAGAGACAGGCAATCTAAATAATTCCACCCTGTAATCAGCTTTTTGTTTGCACTGCTGACAGCAGCATCACCGGTGAAGAACTTCCACTACACGGGAAAGATACGCCGATACACTCCCAGCAAAAGCCTGCGATAGGAAAAATCTGTGCGATCATGCGGAGAAAATGACACGAGGTAAGTCTCTGTGCAGGATTCATTTTAGGGCAGAAATTGTGTAGTTATCATGAAGGAAATGGAGGCCGGCTCAACGGCGTATCTGCTCACATTTCATTTTAGTGATGGACTTGGCAAAAGACGCCAAAGCTAATTGAGGAGCTCAGCGGGCAGCAGTGCATAACAGGCTTATAAGTTCATGTCTTCAGAGTGAATGTGACTCATGATGTGTAGTGGAGACATTATGGAGACGAAACACTGGGAAAATGTTACGTCTTCAAAAAGGACTTTTTTTCCATTGTACCGCAGAGGCTTTCACTTTTTAAACTGGCTCCTCGCAGAGGCTAAAATCAGACAGGGCACATACTATGTCTTCTGATGTTCTCGTCCCACGTCTGTCGTCAAATGGGAGTAAAATCACGTCTGTTCCCTCTGATGTGGACGAGGGGGAAACGTAAATCACCAGCATTGCTCTTTGCTTAAGGCAGCAACAAAAGTAGAAATGAAATCGAGCTTGAACAAAATTAAACTGCTGGTTTGACGCACAGAGCTGAGAGCAAATATCTGAATACTCACTGCGACTTGACGTCTGCTCATTTAGTGACACTCCACGACTCTTTGCCAGATGGGGCTTCCTCCTAACTACAAGCAGAAGGAGAGATTGATTAAATTACACAATGACAAGAGATCCTGGTGAGACTCATTAAAATCTGTGAAATTAAATATTAGGTTGAGAGAATCAGCAAAGGTTAAAAAAACAAACAATTAAATAAACCAATAACTGACTAATTTAAAGAATATACACGTTTCATCAAATGAGAAAATCTTGATGATGAGAACTACGTTAAATGATATGAAGCATTCATTAACATGGCGGAGGTGACGATTATCACCTCTACTGCAGCCAGCCACCAGGGGGGGATCAAGGCACTTTGGCTTCACCTTTGTGGAGCTTTCATGTCGTCCATCTTTGTTTAGACTCTATGGTCGTGACACAATGGAACATGAACTGTTTTGTTCACTGCTGTTTAGAAAGTTTAAGATAAAACTCATAAAAACATTTTAAATTCTTCAACCCAGTGACAATTAGGGAAACTCACTCTGCAGATAAGGATAATGCGTATTATGTGTTTCAGCTAAAGTTTCTCCATTAGTTTTTAAATCTGTCACTTCTCGGTCTTTATTTAATAAAGTTAATATGAAAACCAGTGTGGTATCATTAAAATACTTCTTGTACAAGGAGACATGCAGCTATGTTGTTACACAAAAAGAATTTGAAATGAACTATAAAACACTGAACATTATGATGTCAAAGTATTCAAACTCTCAACGCTGTGTTCTTTGTGTAAAGCATGCGTCTCCCTGCAGGCGTTTTTGTAATCACTAATTTGTGCAATTTAAACCTCTGGCCTCTGATGGAGTAACGACTCTGTGCATGGTATCGATGAATAACCCTATCAAACCCCCACTGATACAAAAGGAATTTGTGGTGCAGGCAGTAAGCGAAAGAACAAATTAAATTACACTCAGCTGTCGTCGAGGTCACGACAACACCTCAGACGTTCGTCTCAGAGTATTCATGACTTTCAGATCAGATCAGTCAAAGACTCTGAGTCAAACCTTGACCTGAAGGGAGACGCTATTTTTCTTTCGAAAAATGATTCACTCCACATGACATTAAACCTGCCTGGGAAACACATGAAAAGACCAATTCAGAAAGAATTTATGTCCACTTCACAACACATTTCAAAGTCATGGATGAATTATGACTAGTGAAAATCATATGCTCCAGTGTCTAGCCGATCTGAGGAGAAAGGTGAGACTAAAAAGAGTATTTAGAAATACCCGATCTTTATATAATTGCATTGGGGGGGGCAAGACAATCGGAGAGGGATCCTGCTCGGCTGCAACAGGAATAGAAAATATTATTGCTGTAGCTCAACCCTGCATCTCATTTAGACTCAACATGCAAACAGTCCAATTCCTCACCGACTAAGTGTTCACTCAGTGCTGCCTTTAAATGGGGTCACATCACATTACAGAGTTCACCAGAAGAGTCCGTATGGACGCCACCCCCCCGACCTCTAGTGGTATTCACGACCTCAGAATAGTCTAGAAGCTCAGAGATCAGAAGTCTTGGCAGGTGTGTTGAATTTTTCCAAAAAGGAAAGAAGTTCATTTTTTTGTGAACAGATGGTGAGTTTAAATATTGTAACTTAATTTACTTTAGCTTTTGTGGTTTAATAATACGTTGAGTAAAAAATTGTGAAGTTGCCAAAGCTCTCATCTTTTCACTTTGAACGCCAAGAACTGTGCAGGACTTCTCATGTTGTAACAATGAGCTCACGAGTTCAACGTAGCTTTAGCTCGTAGAACAAAATGAAAATAGCCATTAAATGCACGTTCATGGTGTTCTTAGATTACACCTCATGTTTCTGTTGTTTTGGATAAAACCTGTTGCTGACTCTGTAAATTGAAATGCAGTGTATATATGTCTTGTGAGAATGGAAACACATACACATAGTATTAAATATATAGTATTTATATAGTGGACTAAGAGATGTGTCAGTTCTGGTCAGACTAAAGCTTGTTGAAAAATTAGCTGCATCTGACCAATCACTGCGTCTGAGACGAGGGCAGATGGAGCAATCAGCGGACTGGAGCGATGGAGCTGACAGCTGCAGGGTTCATTTAATGACAGTTATCTTCCTCACAGAGACTGAACAAACATCCCTGTCTGCCACGTCTATTAAGGTGTCGGATATGTTTAGGACCAAAGGGCATCCTGAAGCAAGCCTGGACGATCCGGCTTCACCCAACGACGCAGGTCGATTCGACTGAATCGCCACGAAATGAAACTCTTCATGAGCTGCCTTGTGTCGTCCGTCTCTCCAGACTCCTCATCAAACGCCCACTGAATGCATCAGAAGAGACGTGAGGCTGAATATGAGTTCATTGGTGCTGTTGGTCGAAATCGATGCATTTTCAAAGAATGCTACTTCTTCCATTGGCACCTGCTGCTGCAGGAACTACACTTTAGATCCAACATTAGATTATTATAACAAGTTCCTGAGCCAAGAAACTCACCCAACACTTAATTTACTGTGTTGAAATCGCTGCTATGTGAGGAATATGGCTCGGAGAAGCTCACTTGGCCTCCAAAACCTCTCTCTGAAGCAGTGAGACAGAGCTACAGTGTGCGGAGCAGTGAAAAGCATGTGAGGCCAAATAAATCAATGTACTCTTCAACTTCAGAGCCCACATCACTGCCTCGGCTCAGTGCAGATCACCGAGATGTTTCAGGGACGTGAGTGACTGGAGAATTCAAACGTACACGATGGGCTTAAGCATTAAGAACAGCAGACTTGTTGCTGGTCTCATTGAACATATGATCGGATGCGATTGCTACAAGTTTTAATACAATAGCTGAGGTTATGGTGACATGTAAGCAAATCCATCCATCCACCTCTCTGTCTCTGTGTCCATTCATTCCACCAGTTAATGGCCTGCACGCTGCGTGTAACCACGTCACTCTCCTGCTGTCCAAAGGCCACTTTGTGCCACTGCTGGTGCCGCAGTGATTGGCAGGACTAATAGTAACACTGCCACTTGACTGGCGGCTGATTCAGCCAGCAGCAGATGGATGGTGGATGTATTTGAAAGATGGAACTCAGAGAGGAACTGTCGTTGACTTGTCGAATTTCTCTGGTGCAGCGATGTCAGAGCCAATGTGACTGTAATTAATGTTATGTAAAAGTGTATAAGTGTTGTGAAAATACAATATAAATGTTATATATACAGTATAATACCATGGCAGCTAACTCACTGAAAAGGGCAACTCCCCCAACTTTACCAATAACAGTCTGTTTATTATTCATATGTGGAATAAAAAACTATGTATTATGCATGATAATACAAAAAATATATATTTAATAGCAAATAAACTGTAAAGTTCCTCTCGTAACATCATCTGACTAAAAAACATTCACACAACAGTTAAAGCTAAATACTTCCAATCAGGCATAATAACATGAAAGTAAAATTAAACCCTATATTTATCTATATATAAATGAAGACAAACCTCGCACATAAAACTGTTGCTCCACAGTAGAAAACTATCAAATACATATAAATAGTTTAATGGACCAATTATACTTAATATCAGAAACAGAAATAAATGTCCAATGACGTCAGTGCTCTCCATGGAAATCTTCCTCTCGCTTCTGTTTATTCCAGAGGTTAAACACTGGGTAACAGTGGGACCCCACCATATACACACAATAATTAATTTATAAATGATCATGCTAGAGTGCTAAAAGATGTATAATGCAACAAAAGAGGTCATCAGAGGATTGTAGAAAGTGAAAAGCACTTGAACCCACATCTGTGATGGGATAATGATGCTTTTTAAAAATAAAAATAAGAAAAATACACATTTCTGTTCAACATTTTGAAATCAGACGTGATAATCGGAGTAATAGTTGGATAAATAATTGTCTAATGGACCTACTTATGTCTGTAAGTTGCAAGTTGCTTGATTAAACTAAAAACATAACCCACAACTGTTTGCAGCAGACTATCCTACATAATGGAAAATACAACTATAATTTAAACGCATAAAGAATTAGCAGAAGCCTCCCAACTGCAAGCACTCATTTAGAAACACTGTTCACCCCCTCTCAAATTAGAAACGTATTCTCACAGGCAGCGGCAAAAAGCAGCTTTAATGACATCAGCCAACCAAGACTGAAGATTCACCCAAACCCCAGTTCATCACAAAATTAATTATTTAGTTCAGAGTCTGGGTTGGTAGCAGCTGCCAGGTTTGAATGGGTGCAGAGCAGGACTTTGCAAAACTTCACTGGCTGTAAAGGAAAATCTCTAAACCTTGATTTCTCTTATATTGTTGAATCTGTGATGTTCAGCGCCTTCCGGGAGAAACTGGATTTTGCGGTGTGTTGTAGTCGTACCCAGTGTCCTTCAACCTGCCTCGCCTGTTTTACTCTAACAGCCTCCAGAGAACAGGTGTGAACTCCTCTCGCTGTGGGTGTGGAGGCGGAGAAAGTGATGCAATAGGAAAAAACAAACAAAACTAAAACATTCACGTGTCTTTCGGCTGCTTATTGCATCATGTTGTACTGGTGCTACAGTAGCTGGTCTCTCTACCTAAATGGATTTCTCCTTGTATTGTAATTTAAGAACTTTTAAAATGGTTTGTTTGATTGTTGGTTTGTTGGTAAGAAAGATTACGCCAAAACTACCGGACGGATGAGAAAGGCCATTAAAGTTTGGTGCGTATCCAGATCCTGATCCTTTTATCACTGTCTTTAAATTTGTTAGATTAGTTTTTATCTACTGATTGGATGAAGGAATATTCAGGCGACTGATTTCTAAAGGTCTGAGCAGTTTGATTTTGGACAATTGGGTCTTGACCGTGCCGTTATGACTTGCTCCAGTCTTGGCTGCCATACTAGTGCTGGTGTTTGGGTGAGGCAGGTGGTGCATGCTTGAAATAAGGTATTTTGACAGGGGCTGTGGTTGGAGACGGGCGGACACACGAAAATCTGACATCTACAATAAATCTTTCATGCTTGAACTGTTGAACTCCAAGCTGGGCAGGAAATATCCTGACATAACACACTGTGACCACAAGAAGAAGAACAGAAAAAATACTGCAATGTGTTTCATGCATCTCACGACACTGCGCCGTCTCCTTCTCAAAACTCTTTCCTCTCCTGTTTTGTCTCTTCGCACCAGCGCATGAAGCAGGAACGCCACAGAAGGGTCTAAAAAGACAGAAAGTGCGGTGTTTCCCTGGGACTCTTTTCAAGGGTTGAGTGAAACGTCACCCAAATGAGGAATGGCAGCGATATCCAGACAGAGGACAGCTTCCTCACTCTCCCTGTTTTTCTGAGCTCGATAAATCAGCTCAAGGTTCCTCAGTGATCCTCTGTGTGGCAGTGGAGGGGGATTTATCATTCTCAGATAAAGGCTCGCTCCTCGTCAATGTTCCCTTTCACCCTCAGCCGGGAATTTATGAGAACTGGTGCAGCCTAGCTAGTCACACAACAGAGCGCGAAGGGCTACACAACAAGACAAACCACTGTGTTCATGCTATCCATTTCTATTCTGAAGATGTTGTTCGGACACAAGACAAATTGTGTTTCACGCAGTCATTTGCAGCAGAGTAAGAGAATCCGCCCACTCAGTTACTCAACAGTGCAACTCGTGAAGTTAACATCGGTCAATAATGGAGTTTAAATCATTTTACCAGCAACAAATGTCAAAGAGTCTCAGTCTACTTCTAAATCACCTCATTTCAGTTTTTTAAATTAGTTTTTATTGCGTGAAGTTAGATTAGACCTCATCAGCAGCTGCCCAGCAGTGTTAGTATTTATTTAGACTTCACATTTTACACCCAAACATTTACAAGCAATGACAAAACATATAGTTCTTTATGTTCAAGTGTGACTCTTTATTCAGTCTGATAGTTTGCTTTGGGTGCACACGATTGAGTTAGCATTCTGTCACATGGTCTTTTGAGCTGCTGCTGCTAACACTTACCTTCTTGTTTGTCTCAGGTAGCTCCTCTGGCAAAAGGCCTGAAGCCCGGCAAAGATGTCCTTTTTAAAGACAGCCCCCAGGAAGTGGAAGAGCCCATCAGAGACCGGAGAGTGGGGGGGGACTTTGATTTAAGATTTCTCAGATTCTTTATTTTTAATGTTTTTTTTGTCATTTGTTTAACACTTACATTATTTTTGTAGACAGGTTTCTTTTGATGGGTTATTTATGTTTGTCTGATCTTAAGTTTCTTCTAGTTAATTAATGTTAGTAGAGAGTACAGTCCCCCTTTGTGTTGGTCTAGGAATAGTCCATGTCATGAAAATGTCCTAGTTTGCACCTTGTCCTTTTTCTAAATGGTCCCTCACACAGCCATTAATTATCAATTCTTAATTGAAGACAGAAGAGCTGTCAGTGGTTTCCCATTCAAATGTTTGTGTCACACACAAATCATTGCTTCTATTACAATGTGACACATCGTCACTCAAGCTTCAACTCGTGTACCTGAAACGACACCAGCAGAATGACTGTGTGTGTAATTATCTCACCGTTAGACCAACACCTCTGCCGATGCTATTAGAGCGTTCAGTCAAATACATGAAGAGTGAATTTCATTTTCTTTTCTTTTCTTTAAGGAAATACCTTTTATATTTTGTCTTTGCACAAAAAAAGGAATGTTTGCTGAAGGAATAAATGAAAAAGATGAACATGAGAACCAAGGCTCTCTTAATCTTTGATTCTGAATGATTCACAAAATCTCCTTGATGAAGGGAGCAGAAATTAAAAGTGGTAATTCTTAGCGAAGTTTACTGCCCATGGACAGAGGCGGGATCAAATACCGAGGTTTTCTGTCCTCTGACATATAAAACTGGACGTTAACTTCCTTTTTGGTACTTTTTGATAAAACTCTTCAGCAAAACAATGAAACTGAATACATTCTTTATTTTGTCAGCAAATCCTGTGAAAAGACAAAAGCCAACACATCTGAATCATAGACATCTAGGTCATAACGCTTAAATCACATCATTGCACTCGGCGACATGTTCCTTTATTACATTGAACAAGTTTAACAGTCAGTCAAAAAGTACTGAAAGACACATTTTTGGATTTGGAGGCTTCATTGTTTTTGTTTGCAGCAACAGAAAAATGAACAAGACCTTATCTTCTTCACACTAAGGTAACTCAAGTTGGTTTGTTATACTACAAAGCTAAATCAAATTGTGATTTGCTCTATAAAATATTTATTTCAGTGCAACGATGAATCACAAAACGACCAATCAGGACACACAGAGACAGCTCCTCCAGCCAATCAGCGATGAGCCTCATTAAGTCAAATTTTACAAATTTACATTGCTTCGTAATTTCCTGTTGTTATGTAATTTGCACTTCCGTAGATAATGAACTCTTGCAGCTCGCTCTTGGTGGTGGAGCTGAGAAACAGCTTTTTTTTTAATGATACCTTCATTTCTGCTTTTTGACGTAATGATTGATGGATTTTAAGAAAACTCAACATTCCCAAAATACATCCAGGCATTTGGCATGAAACCCCTCATTTACAACACCGTATGAATTCCATTTCTGTCCGTTAATGAAGAATCATTTGCCACAGACCATCAACCGTTGGCTCCTTCGGCCTCCTCGCCGCATCACGTGCTCTGGATCTTTGAAGAGAAAAGACATTCCCTGCTCATTAGCTGATATCCTGAGGCACAGCTGTCTCTATTTTTGCTTGCGAAGCGTTTGTTGTTGACCTCCAGGTGCTTCAGCCACCTCTCTCTTTATTCTCGCTTCTCAAGTTCATCCTTCGATTCTCTTTGATCGCCCGTGGGCAGACAGTCAATCTTTTTGGCTCTCTCTCATAAATGCCTGTTTATGGCGCTCTGCATTGAATGTTTGACGCTCTGTTCTCATTAGGTTATACCGGCAACAGTAAGAGCTTGAATACATCAGGAAGTATAATGATTTCAAGCTAAAGCCACATATTAGCTTTGAGTTATTTTTCTTACATGTGACAAAACCAATAAGAAGAGATAAGCTCAGTCTCCTGGGACCAATGAGCCTCTGGTTGCGGATGCGTGACCGTGTCATCGTCGTCTCTCCTGTGGTTTGGTCAGCTTTGCTTTTCCATCCGTTTCTTATTATGACAGTGGGGGTTTAGCTTTCAGCTGACTCAGGTTGCGCTCTGCCTCATTGGGTCATATCTGCTCGTCACCAAAGGCCCGCAGGACCTCGCAGCACGACTCCCGATCAAAGGGGTTTGACCGTCAGTGAACCAGCGACTTTGGCCAGGCCCGGCGAGCTCTGAGATCTATTTAAACTCATGCTGACACTCTGTGAGTGAGGCTACAGTAGCTGAGCTGTATGCATAAAATCTGACTTCCTCGTTTAATTCCCCCCCTGCTCGTTTTTTTTTTTTGATATGTAAAGTACCTCTGTCACAGCTCCGGCTCCACGAGGTTTCGCCTCATCTGCTGTTGGTTATAATGCGACATGACAGTTAAGTCAAATATCAACTTGCGTCTGATGTGTAATCTCAGGGGTGGAATAAAATCTGCTTGCTCAACAGGTACAGCAGTCAACATCAGAAAATCTCCAAACATGCATATGAGGTTGTGACAGCCGACTCTTGGAGCTTTGACATGAACGTCTCGCCCGCATGCATGTTACACAAATGTAACCTCAAGGCATAAAACACAAGCCTGAGAAGCTAGAATACTTCATGGTGACCTCTGGCCTGAATTTAAAAGGTCAGTTCTTTTTAAAGGTCCAGTCTGGAAGATTTAGGTGAAACTTATATAAAATAATTCTCGTGATTTTTGACCTAAATCGTACAAATTGTCGTTTTCTTTACCCTAGAATCGGCCCTTTATATTTAAAAACTTTATATTTACATCCGGAGCAGGTCCTCTCTACGGAGGCCGCCATGTTTTTTACAGTAGCCCAGACTGGACAAACTAAACCACTTGAGTTGTTGTAACGACTGAAGGTTTCTTCCATGTTTGGAAGGGGAGGGTTAGGTGAAGGGTGTTCAGCTGCGGCATGACTCTTCACCACTAGATGTCACTAAATTCTACACACTGAACCTTTAAGCATGAAAATTGTGATGATGAACATGATCTCAGATCCTAGTCCTTGTCTATACTTCTGCAGATATTTATGTTTTAATTACATTTTTAATCCACATGCCCCTTCGTTTGACAAAATATGTCAAACTACAAACATTCGAACATGCCAGGCCACTAGGTGGCGATAAAGTCTACATCAACGACCTTCCAAATACCAAAGAAGAACACTGAACAGTGATGCTACATTTAACTGCCAACTTAACGACGGAACAACGTAATTAGACCCAGCAGTGCTAACCAAACGTTAAGTAAACTGTGACATCATCATTTCCATTTTTCCATTACGTGTACATGTACACACGGATACACAGAATCCTGGACTTTTAAAAATCTGCACTTTAAAAAAGTTTGTTTTGGCAAAATATCCACAGTAGTGCGAACAGAGTGGACGGAGCTGTGGTGAAGGTTTCTGAGATGTTTTGCACTGTGTCGTTCACCTGGAGGCGCTGGGAGACGTGCTTGCTCAAAGGCATTTCAACAGCGTGGGTCGATAATATAAGTTGCAGAGTTTTCACAGCAATGGATTTAAAGAACACTTAGACTTTCAGCAGGTGCAGCAGTTGGCCAGGGGTGCTATGTTATATAAGATGTGATCCAAGGAATTCAATGCACAGGGCAAACAACCAACTGAGGCGATACAAGGTGGAGAGTCTTAAAATATGAGTTCTCACATACTTTGGTTGAATTTGTCAGAATAATATAAATACAGCCAAATACAACTTGTATACTGTTTCAGCTAAAACTGGGTACTGCTTATATTGGATATTAGTACCACATCATTACGGGTCTTCACGCCTTAGCTGCAATTATCATACTACATTATAGGTGCATGTGAAATAACACGATTAAGCTATTACATAAAGTCAAAGGGGAATAAAACATTTTTGAAATCATTCATTTTGACAAAATTGGTAACATAATTTTTGAAGTAATTTAAAAGACAAATGCCAGGACGGTAAAACACTTTATGGATAGGCGCTGTTGATAGTGTAACTTGTGTTTATTTATTCAGCCGTGCCTTTAGGCAAACTGGTAGAAACGAATATGACATTAAAACTCCACGACCAAACTCTCTCCTCTAAAAGGAATTGGAACATATTGTGAAGAACAGATCCGATGATAAATTCCTGAAGGGCTCAAGATAAAACTGTTCACACCCGACCGGATCATCTCAGGAGCCGGACTGTGACATCTGAAGTCTGAAAGTGTCTGAGGAAACTTTCAAACAGACACTCAGATAAACTGAAGACATTTTCAAAATCTAAGCGCTTACTTTCTCGCCTGCAAAAATATCTAAATTTAATAAAGGGTTAGGTCAGATGCACAAGGATCTGTCATGTTTCTGTTGATCCAAATTGAGCCCATCAATCCTGGAGCCGTTTGGGTGAAAGGATTCTTTATCCCTCAGGTTATGTTTTTGTCTGTGTGTTTGCAGGATTACACAAAAACTACTGGACGGATTATCACGGAACTTGGTGGATAGTTGCAATATGTGTCAGGAAATAATCCAGGAAGTTTATTCCTCTTTCTTTAGCATTGCAAGACAGTGTTTCTTAGAGAATAATAAATGTGGAGGCCTCTCTCTGTTTTTCTAGAGGTGCGCAGAAAAGCACAGCACATTTGTTGGTCGGAGATGTGGAAGTGTGCTCTCTACTTGATTTGAACCTGCAACCCACCCAGTAACACAAACCCCGCCGTTCTCCCCCTCAGGTTACTTGTGCCCTGGTTAAATGAGCCAGTGCTATTTGCAGCTCTGCTCAGACCCACTGTCAGCCCCAGTAAATGGGAATACATTGGCCCAGGGATGATGAGGACATATAAAGGGGAGAGTGAGGGGCGGCTGTGAGGAGGTCAGACCTGACTCAGCTGGATCATCAGTGACACAGACTCCTGGA